CTGAAGTCAGAATTATTGTCATTGTGCATCCGCAAACTTGGGAAAGCATTGAGCCGGAGGGGACGGAAGACCCCGGAATCGTTTTGAAGTTTGGTCTGTGAAGCGGCATACATCTAATCATCATCATGCAGAAGACCGCAGGCTCATAGCGACATCGTGGAACCCCGTTGCAAACTTTGCACATGGTAGGCGTAAGCAACAAACAGCCGAATAATCATCAGAGACATCATCCGCATGCATCAGGGGGCAATCGCGGTTTGCCAAAGAATCGGGATGCTTCCCCCGCATCGATCCAGGAGGACCCAAGCATAAGAGGGGCTGAGTCCTCGCTTGAAGCCTCTGACACAAATTCTATGACCGTCGAGTTTCGCCACCGAGTAAGCCAGCTTTCGGACCGGTAGATAACAGCTCAACGCCGCCTAAAATGTGCTCGTCCTGGCTACTCTATTGAAGCGCGACTCTGCATGTGTTGATAAACAAAAGAGTAGTCGTAGCTTGGAACCTTCGAAACTCCCAAAACCTCGCTGAACCTGTAACACCTCAAGGAAGCCCGAATCGCCACTACTGACGACAAGGGCTGCGATGCGGGGACAACTGAAACAAACAGCACATTCACCACCACCACCACCGCCGCCAACACTTTCACCACCGCCGACGCCACCAGCAGCAGAGCAGCAGCAGTAGCAGGAATTAGCAGCACCAGCAGCACCGACAGCAACAACAGCACCGACACCATCGACACCACCGCCATCAGCTCCTCCACTGAGCTTTGCACACCAAAAAGACAAGTATACAGGGCTAAGCCATTCCAAGGGCACCTGCCTTCCATTCCTTCAACAGCAACACCATGCACAGAGCACTCAGACAATCCCGAAATGCTCCGAACCTGTGAAGCCCCTATCTCTGCCGGCGGACCATCTCCGCCATAAGCTGCGCAGCAGCAGCCGGATGGTTCGAGTCTACCTGTTTTTTGCCCGTGGCCAGAGATTCGGGCCAGCAGAGAACTTGCGAAGTAGGCCTATAATTACAATACCCCAGGCCGTACTGGTACATAGATAAGCAAAACTCTGACTGCAAACTGCAAGGGTGGGGTTTTGTGTAAGAAGCCAGGACTTGCCCGACTCTCGAACTGATGCGACTACAGCACGCTACGAAACGGTTAAACCTTCGGCCAGTCGCCGACATGCAAATCAGCTCATGCACTCTGCTAGGGTTCGGGCACAGAAGCGGATCATTGCCACAAAGGTCTCCTCGGACATCTCGCGGCCAACACGAGAACAGAGTTTCGGCTATGGCCCAAACATGTGGAATCACCAACAGTCTGGCAATGCATCACATCAAGCGAAGCGACAAGGATATTAGGGTTTCAGTTGCGGGGCTGCATTTATGACAACTTCTTTTACGGCAGCTATAGCAATGATTTGCATGTTCCTTCCTTTCCTCTCCTTCCCTCTCTCCTTTCTCCCGTCATTGCTCATGCCTCTTAGGCTCTTCTCTCTCGTATTTTGGTCTTCTAGGACGTACTGTCCCAAGAATACTCTTCGTCCACTCGGATCTTCTCACCACGCCTGCTCTACAGCGACGCCGGCAACCCGCAGCATTAGCAGAAGCTCCTGACTGCACAACCGATTGTGGCGATGTTGCGTCCGTCAGGCACTCCTAACCACATTAACTGTGCCCTATCCTCAATGGTAGCTATTGAAGACTTTACTTTGTTTTCTGCCATCACTGTCCCTTTCACAGACTTGCTGCGCCACAGATCTGAACCGAAGCAGCAAGCGCCGGACCCATCGGACCCAGACGACTCTGTGGAGTGAACTAGAGAACGGGTGCCAGCAAAAGAAACGGAACCCGTTCTAATCTCCTCTGCCACGCGAGCATGGTTCAGACCCGCCTTCACCTCCTTGAGGCCCTGAAAGGGATAGCAATTTAGTCGAGGCAAAAAAGACCTGCTAGACTGCTGCAGTCTCACTTCCTGGCTTTGGAGGCCACGGGCATCGATTGCAGTAGTTCAGAGAACTCCATCCGAAACCTTAACTCGTTTCTCATGCTTAGACTCAGATGATACCGGGACAAAGCCCGTTTCACGGGGAGCAGTCGCGATCTCTTGGGCCGAGGGCTTTAGGGCTGCATGAAGACTTCAGACTTAAATATACTAGGAGGAATGCCGGTTCCGCTTGCCCTGGCATTTGCAGAATTTCGAGACATCACGTCTTGATCAGGTGGTTGTTCTTGGCGTGCCAGGCACACGTTTGGTCTCAGTGAAGCCGAGAAGGAATACCAGGATTTGCATATCGCAACCCATTTCGTTTTCACTCGGTATGCCCTCGTTGTCTGGCACTGCCATTTGTGTCGCCAGTTATTCTGCAACGACGCCAAGTGCTTTCCGAGTGGTTACTCGGTAGTCGCTGTGACTTGCACTTGTGCTACTGACGGGCCTGCTAGATAACCTTAGAGGAAATGACGCTGCCTGAAGAACCGCCTGCACCACGGCATTTTCCTTTGTGCCGGCGCGTGATGCCTGGAGTTCTTCACTGATCACTGAACGCATGCATGCTTGCTCTCTCTCCCTTCCCTCCCTTCGTCCGTCCCTCGGTCTGCGGAATTTCGTTCCCTTCTTCTGCTGGGCATGGGGGATGTTCGAGATTCCCCGGGCACTATGCCCTCCCATGTCTTATGGGGCTTTAAAGGGATGCGAACGTCTTTGGACGTTCATGCTTTGTGTTCGAGAATATGGTGATTGCACTTGGAGAAAAGCATGTCCCCCGGTTGTTCGCAGTACATGTGCGCTAACTGATCGCATGGTCCCCTCCTGTGTTAGCAAGAGAGTTATACACTAAACCTGTGTACATGAAGGAACCGAGGCCTCATGAGGAGTGCGGTTTGCCGGCTCTGCGCAATGTGTTTTTCAAGAAATATTCAGCTAGTCACGGACATGGCAAACATCAATGGTCTACATCTTAAGACACATCAGAGCCGGCTGTGGACCCCAGGCTGGTCTTGTCCTAAGTGCTCAGTGCTGTCTCGCAATCTGGTTCTCTTTCTTTCGGCAGGGTTATGGGCAAAGGGAAACTCCCCCCTGCCGTTCTCTCTCACTCTCTCTCTGGCCCTCTCTCCGGGGCAAGAGGAACGTGCGAAGCTCCCCGGGCCAAGAAGCCCACCCATGCGTTTATGGATGTTTTTGGAGGAACTGCCACATGCGATCTTGGGTCTTCGAGAAAAAGGCAAGAATTTGGATAGCGACATGTGACATGTGTTTCGGCACAAATCGAAGCCTACACTGTTCATCTTGCAGAGTGCAACAACCTTGACACAATGGTCATCTTTGGGAATGCCTGCTTATGTTGTCACTTGGCCCTACTAAGACGTTAAACGGCACGAGTGGCACAGGGCCATGACAGTGCTTCCCTCGTCACGGGCAGTTCCTCAACCGAAGGCGACTGGACCTGACTGTAGCATGCAATCCCCAGGTTCACTGTGCTGGCTGAACGCGAATACATAACACATGCATCCAACATCTCTAGGATAGCAAGGTACAAACAAAAGACTGGCTACAATGGTCGCTCTCTGTCTCCGCGACTTTTTTCTTTACGTATCAGGTTAATTTAAGCCGCACGTCATCGCGCCCATTGGCCATCTCGATCCTGCCCTCGACACCTGTCCCCACTTCGAGTCCAAGGAATGAGAACAGAAGCCTCGCGCACGCATGCTACTTGTAACGTGTACGCTGCATTCTCGATCTTTCTCTTCCTGGAACATGAGGAGCATTGAGGAGCCCCCGCGGGTCAAGCGCCCGCGCATGTGGCATTTTCAGTCCCTCCCAGCGACGCCGAGAAACGCGATGCAGTCTCTGTTTCTTTTGATTTGGCATCTGCGCCTTGCGTCGTGCGGTAGAATGCCGCGAGGGCGGAGGCGGCGGCAGACTCTCGCCTCAGCCGCACCAGTGATGTCTGGGTTCGCGGCGCGCAAAACCGGTGAAAATCATGCACATGCGGCACCTGCTTGCACATCCAGCTGTGAACTCTGAGCCTCACGACCACCGTACAGTGAGCTCATCAGAAGCACAAATCACTTCTCTCGGTGTCCAGCTGGGAAGAAAGACGCGCTGCGCACGCTCCTTGCATGGATGAAACATCCCAGGATTCGGTTCCAAGATGGTGCACCTTCAAATGGTGCAAATGACCCCTATACCAAGACATACATCAGCTTGGATCTTACGCAACCTTGAAGCTCCCAGATGAGACACTCTCGAAAATCGATGGGTTGCTCCTTCCATCTCCTTCCCATCTAGAAGATCTGAGTTCATCCCCCGCAGTTCGGTCCTTGTTGAAGGCCACGAAGCTAAGGAGATCTTCCAAATGCCTCGGCTCCGCGGCAGGCGGCTCCTGCAGGTCTCCACGGGTCCAAAGAATTCTGGAGTCTTAGCAAGAGGAACTTTACCTTCAAAAGCTCAAGTCCCAAACCCAAAACACACCCTAACCTCCGAAATTCGATGTCTGTCTGAGTCAGGTCTACGCCGAAGAGCGCAGAATCATGGTAAACACAACTTGGCCGGAAGAGCCAGCACATGTAGGGAAGCAATGCCCGGAGTTCGTCGTGAAGGCAGGAACCGAAGTCGTGCCACCTTTTCGGACTTGTGGTTCTTTCGATTTCATGGCAGATGGCCTCGATCCTGCCAGGGCCCGCCTAAGGCAACGGCCCCTGTGGCCCTGGGTGGAGCCCAGCTGAACCCGAAAGAAATTAAGCCCTAAATCCTTAAAGTGAACGTGGTCTTGGCGTCGGCTGCCTGCGACGCATGGTGCGGCCGACATCTTAGCACGACGCAACCGCGCCCTCAACCCCAAACCCAAAAGCTCTGTCGACCCGAGCTCGAGAAGAAGAGGCCCAAACCCCCAGCAGCCCGGAAGGGAGCTCACTATCGTGCTTTTGGAGTTCGGGGTTTAGGGAATCTAGGGCATTCAGGCTTCATGGGTTGTCTGGCATGCGAAAGTGTGGAAGTCCTGGACCACGGCTGCCTTGGGCTGCAGGTCCTTCTCGGCATTCGACGCCTCACACGTGACCTGCATGCCATCATGCACGAGGTGGTCTTGCACTACATTGCCAGATCTGGTTAAGATCCTTTACCACATACCGATATGCAGATATTTTGCATGTAGAATGTAGAATGTATGTATTCATGTATGTATGTATGTATGCATGCATGCATGTATGAATGTACATACATACATGCACATGTACACACACACATATACATACACTTAAAACTGAGTAATGTGCAGTACAAGTTGTGTGTGCATACTACTCGTCTTTGCACATACATACAACTACTTGCATTCGGTCCAGTATCCATTCGTTCGAGAAGACTGCATGCACAAGCTGTGATTGCTTACCTATGTGTATGTGTGCACACATACATACATACATACATACATACATACATACGTACATACGTACATACGTACATACATACATACATACATACATACATACATACATACATTATGACATACATACATACATACATACATACATACACACATACATACATACATTCACGTGTACACGATTACTCTACGAAGACTTTTAGCAGTGTGTTGCACCTACATTGAATATTTCAGGAAACCCGTGGAACCGAACCGAGCCGCAGGGACCGAACCGCCACCAACTGAACCGCAACAAACTGCGATCCGAATTGCGCGAACCGCGAACCGAACCGAAGCGCAGCAAAACAATGCTACACAGGACTGTTCTTCAGGCTCGACACTGTGGCATGCAAGAAGAAAGCGGCTGATTAGTGGAAGCTTGAGAGGAACCGCGATGAACCGCGAACCGAACCGCTTGCGAAACCGAACCGCCCGAACCGTTGAACCGATTGGAGCCTTGAAGAATCCGAACCGAACCGCGAGAACCTTGATATTTGCTGTGCAGGCGTAGACTCCAAACTGTGAAATACCACACGGCACTGCACCGGAAGGCCGCTTGAGGAAGTCAGCAGCACCCCACACCCGAGACCACTCCAATACGAATCCAAGTGCAAAATGGTGACACGGCATTCTGGCAAGCAGGATTCCCATTAGATAAGGACAGCATTGCGCGATAGTGGGAGTGAGAACAACTGCTGACTGCGTCAAGTTCACAGCAGGACCAAAACGACAAACTCAGAACCTTCTCGTTAGCACCCAACAATGGCCTTAGCTGCGCCATCCGTGGTCGCCTCCTTCGGAACGACCTTGGACGATTTCGCATTGACTGAGAAACCTGCATGCACCGCCAGCCCAAAAAAGATCGGACAGCTTTGCAAGGACGTGCTCATTTTGAACCTGCTACAGACCAGGCAACTTTGGCCAGGAGGGCCCCGATCGGGTCACGAACTACTGAGCTACTGCACCAAGCCTTTGAAAGGCCGGATGACGCATGCATCCCTAGGGTGATATTGTTTCTCTTTCAGGCTCAGCCTCCAGAAGTGAGAGAGCCAAAGCTGCGGCAGTGCGAACCTGATCTGTCCGGGAAATTGGCAATGCCTTCTTCTCGTACCACTGCTTGCAGAAGTCCCCGATTTCCTCGTTGCAAGCATGGGCTTACGGCGCCGCGAAAGCACAGCTGGCAGGGAACACGACTCTCTGAGCAGACCCCCGGCTGCAGGCTTCTGGACGAAAAGCACCTGGTCCCTGCAACCTCCCTGGTCATCAATGCACACCGTTTCCAATGATTCCAATGTTCACAACTCAACTTACAGCTGCCTGGAAGCGACGGTCCATTTTCGACATCCGAGTCTGTGCATTCGATGATCCGGAACGCTTCATCTGCTGAATCTCTTGCAGAGGATATGGTCGGCCTGTGTTACCGTGCACACATGCATGCTGCAATAGCTCAGCGCATTGAACATTGAACTGCGACTTGTAATAAGTAATAATGCTATCCGAAGCCATGCGAGCAGCTGCAGAGACCCCTGTTTGAAGAAGCTAGAACCTGAAGGCAGCTAAAGCAATCTAACCAGCATCCACGACCGGGTTCCAGCCTTGGCTGAAATTTACGCCTTGCTTTCCATCGCAGGCCCTCTCCACTATCCTGGGATTCAGAGTCGCACAAGGAGTGACTTCGATTCGCTAAGGGACAACTGCTCTTGGCAAGAGCTAAGTCGAAACTAAGGCTGTCATCGAAGACTTTTGTGCCAAACCGAAATCCTTTTCATGCTCAATGCCAACCATCCGCACGCATGCCACATCCAGCGCCAGGGTTGAGTCATGCCGAAGGAGAGCACAAACACCATTCCTGACGCGGGTCGCAGCATAGAAAGAGGAGGATTAGGAGCCCGTGGCATTCATCGCAAGAGACATGATACGCGACTGCAGTACCCCAGCCCTGAACCTCGAAAGCCTCAGCCCTAAAGACAAGCCAAAACCCTGAACTTAACACCTTACAGAAAGCAACAACAGCCTACACCCAAAACATGCAGTCGCGGAGCTCTGCACTGGCGTAGTACTCTGCCTCAACTCCTCCATCCAGCTCTGTATCTGCAATCACTAACTCTTCAGATTGATCTTAATGCTTGCAGCTCGAGTGCAAGACCCGGAGCCCTCAGCCCTCGGGACCTTCGCCGGAAGATTTCAAGTTGGCCAGCCGGGCCAAGGCACCTTCATACCTAAGCAGGTCAGTCCTTTCAGAAGCAAAAGCGACCTCACATATCATGTACATATATATATGTATATGTCTGCCTGTGTGTGTGTGTTAACAGGTATATAGGTATATATGTATGACCGCATGGTCATATGAAAAGGAATCCAAGTAAACACATAAATAATGTATATAAGACATGCATGCTTACATACATGCATGCATGTACGCACGCATGCATGTAAGTCTGCATGCATGTCTGCATACATGTCAATTCCCCCTTTCTAAGATCTGTACATACGGTTGAGGGTTCTAAGGTTTGTCGTACCGGTGCTTACATTGTGGGGGTTCGCACTTTCTTTCTTTCTTTCTGCAGGGCTTAGGGGTCAGCGTTGCCGACCCTCAGGCCTTTGGCCCGCCCCACCACCAGTTCGCACCTCTCTCTCTCTCTCTCTCCATACATATATATATATAATCTATATATATATATGTATGTATAGATATATGTAGCATACATGTATGTGTATATATATATATAGATATACACACGTACGTTTATGATAAAGAAAAATGTCCCCTGACTTTCTGAAGCTTCCGTGTGGCCCAAGCTGCGGGGCCGACTGGAGTTTTCATTGAAGTTACATAGAACTTGGCAGCGCTGAATTGAAGCGAAAGCCATGCAGTGATCAAAGCTTTCATCGCAGGGGCTCGGCTGTTTAGGGGGGAGGCCTGCTCTGCAAACGGAAGGCAACCCGAAGTTTGGGATGCAAAGAAGGCACGTGTGCTGCATGCCCCAAGGCTGGCCATGCGGAATTCCACTGTCCGCCGGGCATGGCAGTACACAGATTGACGCTGCCTGCCCCTTCTGCCCAAAGTGGCCTAGACTTTGGCGAGATGTCACTGGAAATGGTAATTGTATTCGATACTACCGCAGAAATTCAACCCACTCCGCAAAAGCAAGAAGCCCCTGAGACAACTTTTGACAACGAAGCCGCTGCAAAACGCAGACTCGATGGCTGCAAGCTTGTCAGGGTTCGACGATGTTACGGCCACTCTGCAGGCGGGCACGGATGCAGCGTCGTTGGACATGGGCTTGCAAGCATCCCCAAACTTGAGAAGCTGATGGCAGAAGTACACATACCGGATCAGCAAGCTTCGCATGACTTCGAACAGACACACAAGACCCCGCGACTCTTCCCTTGCTATCAAAATTACACGCGAATCATGCGAAGACACCCCCCACCCCTTCACCCCCCGCGCATGAACCCACGCTTCCGATATCAATAAGCTTGGGGAACAAGTACCGGCTTCTCGTCCTCGAGCCTGTCAACCCTAACCGGAAACTCCAAAGACCCTGTAGTCATGACTTGAAGCCGTCTTCGAAGGATTTTGGACATATTTTACAGGGCTTGGGGGGTTTCGTACACCGGCAGAGACAGGACGACGGAAAATATGCGTGGAAGAGCTGAGCGGCATCTCTTCCCTTTAGGAGCCAACTTCTCAAGCCGTGCGATTCAACCACGCATGCTGGACGCCATCTCAAGTTGTCAAGTGCAAGCCGAGAGCAGCATGTCCCACCTCAAGGACTACAGGACCCCTAAAGCACCTCAACCTGCATGGGCACTCCGAGAATCCGGCCGGGCCGCCTCGCCTGGGACAAACAATCGGTGCAGGTTCCAGATTTGCTACAGGTCTCAAGCCAAAGTGTACCATTGTATCAAAGGTTCAGTGCTTCAGAGCGCGAGCCTGAAGCCTTAGAGTTGCATTCGGGTGAAGAGAAACCACATTAAACAAAAACTTCTATAACTTGGTCCAGCATGCCACTCTACTGATTTCGACCGCTGCATGCATGCCGATTCCTGTGATGCCAAGGCTGGAGAGCTTCGGCTCAATAATTCCAGGAAGTGCTTCTTATGCCAAATTCAGGCCGAACAAGCCAGGTTCAGCCCAGACGGTCAAGGAAGTGCAGCAGAGATTGCTGTGTTCTGTTCTGATTCTTCGGTCTCCAGCACTTGGCACGTAAGCCCGAAGCATCCTTGATACCTATTTGCTCACACCCTTTCAACCTGAGGCCATGCCTGTACTCGATTACAACACCGGGCGCCCGTGCGGATTGCGCGGGGGGCGGGCTGCAGTCTGGGGCTCCACATGGACCTTTCACGAAAGAAAACAGTTTGCATAGATGACCCGATGCGGAAGCGGATCCTGTTGAGCTGCTAGTTATGTCAAGGCCTTCAGGGCTTGAGTCGAGCTTCAAAACAATGTCCACTGACTATTCAGGAAAGAAACTCTAGAGTGGCGGGTGACACTGCTGTTCTCCCTGATGCAGCTGCGGCTGATCTTGAGACTGGCATTGCACAAACAGGGAAGGGCTACTGTGATGACGAACATGATGACGACGTCGAGGATGACGATGATCGTGTGATTGTGATGGCTGTGAGCATGACCATGATGATTATCATGGAGGATGGTGACAGTCAGCCGCAAAATGCTAGCCAGCTATGCTCACGGACACTTGAGCTCGGCTTCCACTACAGAAGCACGGGCAAACCAAAAACAACGTACCTGATCATTGCTTGAATGCACATAGCAGTACACCGCACTGCGAAACACCAAACAATCTTAGCGTCTTTCACTGTGTGAAAAAACCTGCGCAGGCAGCACCTCTTGAAGATGCAGCGATTGCAGCTCTGCAGGCGGACTCTTGCCAGGTGCCTTGATGCCAGGCTTGAACCCTCAAGCTGTTGACCGGACAACAATGTGAATCACCTGAAGCCCAGATACTCTCAAGGCCCTGACAAACTTTGGAAAGAAATGTGTCTGACATGAGTCTGACGTGACTGCCACGTCTTCCCGGAGCCTTGCTGCCCGAATGAATAGTGTCTGCAGCAACATCCGAAAACGTGAAGCTCGGGCTGTCCCGAACCTTACACTTCAAAGTACGGATTAAACCCCTAAATCCTGCAACACGCCCAAACCTAGAACCCAAAGCCTGCATTGCAACCCCCCTGCACCTGTCGCAGGGCCAAGAGCTGGGTCCGATCGTAGCGCTCCTGGCACATGCTATGTGCAATAAAACACAGTACCACCATCTACAGCAATGGCCGAATGTATCGCTTGATGTATGTATATGGGGTTGCATATAGACAAAAATACACATATAAATCAAGTTTTCATATAACCACAAGCAATTCATAAAGAAATGAAAACACAGAAAATTAAACAAAAGAGACAGCAGTCCATTTTTGAGTGCTTGATAGGGCTGGCCGTTGTGTGGAATGCAGTAAGCAAGAACAGGGTTCGATGCTAGTTCTGGAAACACACACTGCGCAGTCCAAGCATTCCAAGCATTAGTAGTTAGCAGTACATGCTGTCGCGGAGGTCCGTTATCAGAGAGACACGCAACAGGAGATCGCAATACTTCCACGGATTGTCGTGTAAAGATGTGTGAAGTATGGGAAGCTGTGCCCGAGATACAAAGATCCACTTGCGTTCGGTGTTGGCGACTTGAGGGTTCCTCTGCCTAGGGGCAGGGAGGCAGGGAGATGATGGAAGTGATCGAAACGGTCCGAACTGCTAAACCGGTCCCAGCACGTATCCCTGTGTTTTGGGATGACTCAGGCTCACAGCTCAGCTCGCAAGCTTATCCAAACACCAAACACCTGCCGCTCCCAGAGTCTCAGATCAGGCATGCATTGCAACTCTGTGCAAATCATGACCAGAAATGCGGCGTTCATGTACCATGACTTACAGTGTGTATGTTGATTACAATCACATGTACGAACATGTATGCACGTGTGTACGTGTGTATATATATATACATCTGTATATACATACGCACACACTGTACATGGTACATACATACTGTAAACACAAGGTGTTACATGGTCCGCGACGATATGTGGTCGCCGTGGCCTGCGCAATTCCACCCTGCGGAAAAGGACTGTACAGCGGCAGTGCAACTTCGTTCGTTGTAGGGACCAACAAAGGCGGCGCTAGCTGAGATTGCACTCAGGAATCGTCATGTGTGTCTTGGCAAACTTCTTGAATGAAAGCCACACAGCCCTACTCTATACCAGCAAGATACATTCATCTGCGACTACAACAACATTATGAGTGATGACAAGCGCATATTTTAAGCACGTTGGCGTCGCCGGCGGCGGCTGCGTGGCATACCAAATCCTCGAGCACATCATGGTCAATTAGCAGATCTCAGAAATTTTATTTCGTGAAAATAAATCAAATGGTTGGTTGGCAAGGTCGTACTTTTCCCCGAAGGCCGCGGATCATGATAAACATCTTGTTTGGGCGGCTATTGGTATGTATAGCAGCAGCAGCAGCGGCAGCAGTAGCAGCAGCAGCAGCAGTAGCAGTAGTAGTAGTAGTAGTAGTAGTAGCAAAACTCGTCGTAGTAGTAGTAGTAGTAGTAGTAGCAGCAGTAGTAGCAGCATCAGAAGTAGTCTCAGTCGTACTAGTTACTAGTCGCAGTAGTAGCAGTGGCAGTAGGAGTCGGAGTAGGAGTAGAATGGAGTGCCTGTAGCAGAGTAGCAGTAGTAGTAGTAGTAGTAGTAGTAGGAGGAGGAGGAGGAGGTTAGTTAGTTAGTTAGTTAGTTAGTCAGTCAGTCAGTCAGTCAGTCAGTCAGTCAGTCAGTCAGTCAGTCAGTGAGTTAGTTAGTTAGTTAGTTAGTTAGTAGTTAGTTTGTAAGTAAGTAGTTAGTGAGTAAGTAAGTAAGTAAGCAAGCAAGTAAGTAAGTAAGTAAGTAAGTTAGTTAGTTAGTATGTAAGCAAGTAAGTAAGTAAGTAAGTAAGTAAGTAAGCAAGCAAGCAAGTAAGTAAGTAAGTAAGTAAGTTAGTATGTAAGCAAGTAAGTAAGTACTAGTAAGTACTAGTACGTATAAGTAAGCAAGTAAGTAGGTAGGTAGGTAGGAAGGAAGGAAGGTAGGTAAGTAGTCGCGGTGGTGGTGTTGAAGCGTCTGAGCGTTAGCCTGGTCGCTGCAAACATGAAAAGGCCCCGTCACAACGCTGTTGAAAGGTTTACCGGCGTTCGCAGTTTACATACGAGAAGCAGATTTTGGGCTAATCACGCCCATATTCTGTCTATGGCATGCTGTCAGATCCACCTCGATGACTTGGGCGGACTCCTGTGAGGTAACCGCACCCGTCAAAGCGGTGTAACCAGTTGAATGCATGTAGCAGGCCCTTCCCCCCGAATGACTAGGTGCAGCCGACAGTCAGAAACAGTGCCACTGGCAGCAGCGCTCGCAATGCCCATACGAGGCAAGTCGCCACACTGTGCAGTGCTCAGGACTACTGCTTCCGGACGGGCAAGCACGTGTACGGCTGGGGAGGTGGCTGTGCAGACATATGCATGTGGGCATGCAAGTACGTGTCTAACATGAACGACTACATGAATCAAGTACTCAACAAAGAAATGAAAAACGAAGGAAAAATAATGAACACATCATAAGTGCATTAACGCACGAACCCAGGAATGAAATAAACGAATCAAGAAGGAAACAAAAGAAGAGCTACTGGATGAGTGAAATGCAGGAATGCAGGAGGCGGGAATGAATGAACGAATTGATGAATGAATGATGTTATCCGTAATGAAGGCCCGACGTAAGAGGAGCGTAGCACAGCGGCACGCCATGCATCCGAGTGACCATGCTCTGCTCACATAGTTTCGCTTTAAAGCTTCTTGCCCCGAGGTTAAGGGCCGAAGCCATGGAAGCAACAATGCCAGTATAGATTGCAGTGTCTTTCCTCCAATGACACAGGGGCCTCCAGTTCAATGATATGCTAGCATCTTCTAAGTTGTCTAAGTTGCCGGACCTTATTGAAGTCCTTTCTTTCGGCATTTTCCCAACGCCTCTCAGCTTGAGGTTCATGGGATTCTGAACCCCGACATGCTGCCTCGTGCTGAACCCGAGATCTTCCAAGCCCATGGCCGTCCTTTGCAGGGTGCCAAGACTTTCGTGTTCCCACTCCTAACATTCTAGTGCAGTCGACAGATGAAAGCCTCCCCTTGCTCATCTCCGAAAAGAGTACCTGCTTTGCCGATAGTTCGGAACTCGATACTCAAGCCGCTGGGCCTCGTCGATGCTCAGACACAACAGTAGCGGCTGGAGATCTGCAGATTTGACTCAGCAGCAAAATCGCAAAGCTGCGAACTCTAAGTCTCTAATTGCGCTGCCGTGGGTCCTGAGCGAGCTCGTCAAGCACCCCGCATCAAGACATGTTCGGATGATCGGCGTCAGATTACGCTGCGTGGATTGAGATGCCTACCGGTCCGGTAGATTGGGGGCACCCAGGTACAAGGTGCATGTGCGTTGAGGTGCGATTTGCAGTCTTAGACTGTTCAAAAGAGTGTAACAGCTGAAACGATTTGTTAAATTTGTGTTGTTACAATGCGAGGCAGGTTGGCTATGTTGGTCAACGCTAACTTGCCGAAACGTCTTCAGCAATGCGGCAGCAAAGCACGGTACAGCATGTTGCTTTTGAAACAATACCGACTTACAGCCGTCGCCAAGTATAGTCCACGCCGCAAAAGCAATATACCAGCGCGTGGACCGCCAACCCCGAAGAGAACTGCAGTGCTGCCAGCTCCCTTATCTGCCTTACGGTCACGAGCCGTGTCATGTGCGACACGAACAGCACTCCCGCAGCATCGCAACCCGACGGCTCCCCATGGCACCCGACTTCAGGACTCCCACTGCAGCCGCAGCAATTTCAGCAGGATGCCTGGTGTAGCCTCTCCACCTCTGCGCGCAGAGCACGATTCTCAGCACCTGGGCAAGCATCCCCACGCTGCTACACTACGCTGTGCAGAGTTGCCGGAGCCAAATCACAGCGGCCGCTTTCACAAATATCATATATATATATATATACATATTATATATATATATATCAGTTTACACGATCTCCACCACTCGCATACCTCGCTGAACAGCCCTGGATCGCAGAGTTCTTTTTCCTCGCGATCGAGACGTGGGACGTGATCGCGTCATAGATCGGATCATCAAAACTTCACTCGATCT